TATATAGTTTAACAATGTCAGGAAGCTTAATAAGACCAAGGTTTACATAATGGGGAGTAATATGATCACGGAGTGGCACATTGTTGATTATTCTAATAGCTTTGTTTTGTAGTCTCACCAATTGTGACAACTCATTCTCTCATGCATGTAAACTATTTAGTCAGTAGCTCAAGTTGGCTTTTCTTGACTTTGATTGGATAGTATGAGCACACAAAAGAATATGAATAAATAATTATTGCAAGTGGCTACACTTTTGGGCTCCTAATTGCTGTAATATTAAAGCTCAGCTCAAATGATTTTACTGTATACCAGCCTGCTGTTCCATATTTTATCATAAAGTGTGTCTAAGTCCTATTGTCTTATGAATAAATAGCTGAACAATCATTTGATTTGTCCTTTAGGATGGGGAGGATTTCATTATGAAAGTCTGGACGTTTGAGCAGATCAGCAATGTGTTAAAAGTTGCAGGAGAAAGGAAATGCCAAGAAGCCCAGGCTTGCCTGGAAGGTATGCATATAATTTTTTTTTAATGTGGATAAAATTTGGCCTTCCTTAAATCCCAAAATACAGTGTATCTGTTGTGGTTTGGAGTTAAGTTATTTGCTTTTAAATTTTTAAACCAGTTTGACTTATATTTCCCATAATTTCTCTCAGAACATAGTAATGAATATGAAACCATAAAAACTACAAATTAAACTGGTTTGAAAAATTGTAATCCCTAAGATCAATAACGCTTACATTACTATGCATTGTATATGAGTCCTTAAAATGTCCTTAATGTCCAAATTTTCCCTCAGAAAATAATTTGATCCCATGATGTCACATTTCTCTAGAAAATCAAGACCCAGTGGTAAATATAATGGGTGCAGCATATGCCGCTGTTAGCAGCAATGACAGGCCTCTTCTGAAGGCACATGCTGATCTCAGTAAGGCACGAGATGACTCGTCAGAGAATGTGGAGGAACAAGAGGCTAGGTTTACACTGTCGCTTCTCATCAGTGAAATGGACAAACAACTTCTGGTGCAATCTCACAACACTATAGCCAAGTATGTCTACTTTCATTCAGCTAATTTAGTAGCCATTAAAATTTGGGATTCTCCAATTACAAAGACATTGGGTTATTTTTAGTAGTAAACTATAATCATGTACTCAAATTAATTCTGTGGCAATCTTTCTTGCAGGGAAGTCAGACTTAATCCTAGTGCTGTGCAGGTAATTGCCTCCTGTGATTAGTTTGAAAAATTAATTAATTCCATTTACATGTATTGCAGAAATTTTCTAAAACTTATGTTTGAAAAAATTGTCTTTTACCCAAGACATTATTTTCCTGCGATATAATCCTTCATTTTCACATAAAAGTTTACATTACATGTTCACAGATGTTTTACATGTCGAGTAAACCCTTATAAATTTGTTTGTACCTTGGCAATTCCTTAATTAGAAACTGTTACTGTTATCATCCACAGGTAGATTACGAGCTCTTCAAATCCCTTGCTGGTGATGAGGAAGGAAAATGTCTGGAATATATTGAATGGACACTTGGTAAGATTCATTCAGTTTCAAATTAATTTTACAATTTATGTGTGTGTGCCAACCTTAACTGTTGCATCACACAACAGAAACCTGATGCTGGCAGTAACATAGATGACTACATGTACAGTGTACCTCTGATTTGTTGTGGTGTACCACTAAAATCTCAGAACTAATACATGAGATCAATAAGGAAAATTAAGAAAGTTGTTATCTTTGTCACCAGATCACCAGTTCAGCAATGGCTGCCATGCTCCCCCCTGGCAACAGGTTCATGGTGATATCAGCTACTTGGATGTAAAGCCCTTTGACACTGACAAGCTGACGATCACGGCAAACACTGCTGGTTACTTCCTAAACAAAGGCTTGACACAAGAAGGACAAGTTAACTATGAAAGGGAAGGAGAAGTGTACCCTACACTTGTGGCACTGCTTAAGGCCAAGAGTCCACAGTTTGCCTCTGCTATTGAAAAGAAGGTGCTTCTTTTATTACTGCTTCTAAGAATTTGCTGTCATATTTAATATGAGGAATTTAAAGAGGGGCTTAAACTTCCCATTTCCCAGACCTTTAAATCTCAGGTCCCACTATTTCCTTGGCACTTCTTTTTGGTGCTTTTCCTGTTGAACAATAGTAAGCAATGTTTCAAAAAATTTTCCCTTTTTCCTCCAGTTCTTGACACATTGAGAATCTCACTTCTTATCCTCTCTTTTCCCACCTCCCATTAAGGTTACAGTATACCTTCAGGGGTGTCTCGCGCACAAGCGATGTAGTGCGTGCAGTTTAAGCTGTAGATACCTAAGCCCCTATATCAAATTAAAGCTTATGGAGCTGGCTATCAAACTATACCAAGAAATTTGAAAGAAAATGAATTGTCG